CTCTCGAATCGAACTTTAGAAGTGGGGTCCCCCACTACAAAAAGCCTGGGTTAGCTTCTTCGTTCGTCGGAAACGGTCGAAAAGCGGCTGATCTAACCGAGTTTCACTCCTTTCTTCTTCCTTACTTCGCCATTCCTCGCGCATCCCATTCCTGCTCCAGCTCACCTTTGTTAGGAAACAGACACGCTACCTCCTCCCCACATCACCCATCTCCCCCCTTTTCCAACGTGCACGCACCTGGCGCGATTCGTCAGCCAGGTTCATCCGCTTTTCCTCCTCTTCCACTGCTGCGCACGCCCTTTCCTTACTGACTCCTGACCTACTCATCTACTAACAAACCCAATGTCGTTATGCAAGTCGCCCCGCGCAAACCCCCAGGTTCGCAACTTACCTCGCTGGAATCCGTAAAGGATCGAGCGGGATGCAGAGTTCTTCACTCCCACCTCCCTCCATTACTGTCCCGTCGCGACCTGCGAATGGATCTGGACGTAAACAGCGTCCGGGTGATTTCCCCGCTGCAGCTCAGCACCGTAGCTTCGCCTCCGACTCTTCCCGCCCTCCTCAGTTCGTCGCACCTACCCACGATCACGGCTAAATTCGCACACCTTTCTTCCACCTCCGAACAACAGTAGGCTGCTACCGAAACGCTTGCCACGGCTGGAACGGAGCCTCACTCTCATGGAGACGAGGCGATGGAGAAAGGAGGCGCCCAACCCTTCACCCTTCAAAGCTTCTCTTTCCTAGCTCGTTCCTATCAAGACCGAGAACAACTTGCCTTGTTCCGCAGCGCCACAACCACCATCAGCGCTTCAAGGCGCAGCCTATAACCAGCGCGGGGACAAAACCGTAGCTCTAACATCGAAACCGGCTCCACAGGAGGATTCGCGGGGTCCAAGAACCTCGGAATCAAAACTTCATTCGCCCGATTTCGTTAACAATCGGGCGAATTATGCACTTCTCTCTCTACCGTCCCGCGCTAACCTCCCGCCATCTCCTGCCTTTCAACCCGTGGTGACGTCCGCCCGACACTGTAACGCACTGCGCTCAGAATAGCTCACTCCAGCTAGGCCATGCAATCGCACGAACCGAGAAGGGGAGGCGAGAATGAGTCAAACGAGCGACTCCGAAACAACAACAAAAACGCTCCGGTTCCGTCCGCCCCGTATATACCTTAACACCCCCGCACTCTCTTACCTCTGGACGCACCTCAAGGCGGAACCCGTCGGGGTTCCTCCCCCCCTGTAGTGCTTAGCGCTTCCCCGTTTCTCCCGACTGCCCCGACTACCAACTCCTCGACGGGCGAACTCTAAGTCGCCCCGGCCGAGCCTCCCACGCCACTCCGCTACACTGTCACCCCGCCTCTAACCGTGCTACGCCGGCTGGCCAGCCCCGCCACTCACTCCTGCCCTCACCTAACCCGGGCGGGTCCCGCGACCAGATCCTTTTCCCACCCTCCCCGTCGGGGACTACCAAATGCCTCGAGGACCAAATCGCGGTGGTACCCCCCTGTGGTTCCTCCCAGTTCGGACCGCCAGCCACGATACCGCGCCCCTTGAGTCAGAACGGAACCGCGGATAGTAATGAGAACAATAAATAGAAATAAAGAAAAAATACCAAAATTAAAATATCGTAAAATAACCTACACATATATATAAGAAAAGTCTTAAAGACGGAGTGGGACCGCTAACACCCTACGGGTTCCATGGGTCGGGTCCGCTGACAGAGGAGGGGATAGCCTCGTCGAGCCCTCAACCCCCTCAGTTCCCTCTATGATGCTCCGCCGCTGCTGCACCAACGCCTGCTGGCCTCGATCCCTGAGTCCCTGTAGTAGTAGTCCAACGCCGTAACCTATAGGGCTATGCCCCAGCTTGGGATAACTAGGCGCGGAATCCAGTATAAAGTCGTACCGCGCCGTGCCTAGCCTTGGAAACAACAGCCTAGGCCTTTTCTCTCCTACCGCGGCCGGCGCGCCAATACCAGGCCCCCGCCCCAATCTACTTAGACTGCGTCGTGGCCGCCCCGCACGCCACCCCGTGCGCCAGTCCTACCGACGGTCGCGCATGCCAACCCAGGAACGAGCTCTTACTCCTTATCCAAGGCATAACACAGTCCGGGTCGGTCGACTAGACCGGCTGCTCACTCAATCAGAAAAAATCACACGCGCGCCTTAAAACTGCGCGCCCACATACCCTCTAGCTTAGTCAGGACGGGTCCCGGACGCGGCCGTACCTCGCCCGACTTATGCCGACCAGACCCATTTTTTTTTCTGTCATTTGCAAAAACCAGGGCGGATACCCTTGTAAGGGTATTCGCGCCGACAGCCTACCGGACTATATTAAGCGACGTCCCCGTCGCTACGCCGAATCAGAAGGTTACAAATTCATTCACACTCCAAAATGCTGACGAGGGCAGAACCAATTCCGATTAGCCGACAGACTCAGGGTTGAGGCCTCCAACATTCCATGCCAATATAACTATATGCTGCCAGGGTTTCAACCTGGGTTTCCGTTGTCCTGACACTAGGACGGAGGTGTATTACGCATCAATACTACAGCATAAGTTTCAAGGGCCACCTCAAACCGTCCTCTCCCCTTCGTCCTAGACAAACGCCGACTTTTCATTGGGTGTCCTTAGTTAGACTCTCTCTTGTAAGCAGAGTCATACGGGGACGCGGACCTTAGACGAGACCTCAGAAGACACTCTCACCTCCCTTGCGAAAATCCTCACAATCAAGTATATATATATATATATACGCAAATCTCCTCTCAGCTCTTTCTGCAGTCTAGTACAGAAATGCTAGGTCCTCATCCTGGCCCACCATAGTCTGGTTGATCGAGCCAGATCTACGGCCTACCGCATTGTTGTCTTAGCGGCAGTCCCTTCGTTGGTTATGCAACGATAGGCTTTCTCCTGATAGGCATTCAATCAGGGCGCCCAAACGACTCGACTCGTATCCTCCGCTATTCCACCAGAGTAATTTCCTTGGGGCATGCATGACCTCTTAAACTCTTACTTTGCTGGTAGACGTGGGCCCGCAGCCAGGTTGTGCTGGCTTGCAGCCATCCAATAGGGGTTGCGCCCTAGAGGTGCTAACCCTTACCGTTTAGCTTGGTATTCCCTAATATGCCTTAGGATTAGCACAGGTGTCTAGGCGGTGCGTCGCAAAGCAAATTCACAGGGCCACTGCGGAACGACGCAGGGACCCGCCCCACTTTTAAGGGTATTACCAGCCCCCTATGGGACAACATAGAGGGCACGGCCCCTTCTCACAATCATAAACAATTTCACCGCTAGACCCACACGAGGTCGTGGCCTACTGACTTGATCTGAGACAGCAGACCACACATCCCACGACATCTTTATGCACCGACTTGTGACTTTCTCAATTTCACCAGTGGTTCCAACCGTAATTCTGGCTCCTCTTGTCAGACTTTATCATTCAAACATTGCTTACCATATCCTTAAATCTATCACCCATTTTTCACATGAAGGGGGTCTCTCTCACCAAGTCCCCCAACCACCCCTCCCTTTGCGGGATGGACTATCACACGACCTGGGTTACACTGCTGTCAATAAACCACATCCCCACCTTCCATAATCCGAGGAGTCTCAATTATAGAACTACTTAACTGAGGGGCCTTCTTATGGGCCATCTTCCCAGCTTAAACGCAAAATAACTCAAACAAAGGGGCCAACTTATAGGTCCCCTTCACAGCTCAGCCATAAACATTCGGCATGGTAAGCATCCGAGCCTTATAGGCTCGCAAGACCCCTCAGGGTCCTTATACATCTGTCACAAGAACGACCGCGCTGCCTCCTCTTATACCCGGCCGTTCCGCCCGCCCATGGGCAGGCCGCACGAGTATACCGAAGAGTAGACGGCAACCACAACCACGCAATACACATACATGAGATGTATCCCACACATCTCTCACACAAAGTCCTCATTCATTGGGATAAAGCCACACGTGTGAGAGTGATCGTGATCGTCACAAGAATAAGTCTTACAGAGTCTGGAATCAAAGATATACTCGGGAGCAAAATATCTCCCTCAAGTCTCAATACAACACTCAACTCAAACCCTCAACACACAACTCGTAGGGTGTATTTGGGAACCAAAAGCCTGCCCCGAAAACACTCAAATACTCGCCCCACTGTCTCATTCCACAGGATAAACTCACGTCCCAAGTGTCATGGACTCTCAGAACCTACTCAAAGATACAAGCAGGAGTATCTGAATCACACAACTGAGAATGCAAGTTACGTATGTCGTAGATATCATACAACTAAGCCTCATCCCCTAGACCGTATCACACATAAGCTCAAGCCGATCACACACCGCCACCTATGTATACACAACTAGACGGGACTCGCCTGACTAACTCAGAGTATGTACACCCGTATCACGGCCTCTGCATACAGAGGAGCTCTAATCCTACTGTCATATAGACGGACCAGCCCCTACTCACTCATAGCCTCCTGGATCTGTCTATATAACTGTGCCCTACCCCCATCTGGAGCCCGCTCTACCAGTCGCCCCTGCCTGTCGTACATTCTCCCGCCACTCTCTGTTACTCTCCCAGCCGCCTTGTCCTTAAGCAACTTCGGGCATTCAAGGGCTCTATGTACGTCGTCATTGCAGAAGAAGCACTGATCGTTTGATCTCCCTCGACACCTCCTCTTCTTCTTCTGGGACCCTGGCAACGGTGGCGTCTCGCGAGTTTCCCTGCTCATCTCATGGCTCTGGGCATACTCCATGACTCTGCCGGCCCCGCCTCTATCATCTGGGTACTCGGCCCTGCTAGTGCCTCTCCTCCCTCGGGTCGGTACGCTGGAGTGTCCAATCTCAGTGGCCTACCCTCACGGACTCCTCCCCTCGCAGTCGCCCCCTCGTCCCTATGCAGGTCGGAAGGCTGGGGAGTCATGGCGATCGCTGGCTCGCTCATAACCTCCTGCTGTTGCTCTGAGATGTGCTCTCCTGAGTCAGCTCCAGTAGCCCAAGAGCCTAACTGCGTCCTCAGCTCCCCTATCACTGACACACGCTCTGGGGTCTTCTGCCTCGGAGGCTTTCCTGACGGCATGTCCAGCTCCATAGCTGTCACTAACTCATCCAGTCGAGACGCCCCTCCCCCCATTGCCTCCGGCTCAGTGGATGATGCTGCTCCCGTAAGGGCACCCTCCTGTACCTCCAAAAGGATCGTGGGGACTCCTCTGTGGGGCCCCCTTCCTCCACTGGAGGTTGGGGTCCCTGCGCCGGCTTGCCCTCAGGGATCTCAATCGTCATAGGGGTGATCTGTTGCGAGGCCAACTCCGTGGGAGTCCTGAAGCTGAACCTCCTCTCCTCGGCCTCCCGCCTCGCTGCCGCCTCTGCTGGGTCCATGAATACCTTCCCCATTCCCTCCTGCTGTGGCGTCTCCATTGTTCCTTCTTGGCCAAAGAGCCCCTGTACCTCCTTCCCCTGAATACCATACCGGTTCTGCTCCGTCCAGTCGACCACCTTAGTGGCCGAGAGCCTTTCTACCATCGCCGCCATGTCCTGAAGCCTCTTCTCCCACTCTGCCTCCTTGGCTTCCATGCGGGTCCTCCACGCCTGGTTCTCTACCCTCTCTTCCGCCAACTGGGAGGACAACTGTCCCACTTCTACCCTCGAGGCCGCCAACTCATCGCTGAGCATGGAGTACCGCTGAAAGGATGAGATTGCCACCTCACATATCCTCCTGTCCGCAAGCTCAATCTCCATCCTGGTGGCTAAAAATCCCAAGTCCTCTATTTCTCGTGCCTTGTCCACCCCCGCATTCTCCTGTCCTACCTCTCGCGATCTCAAACGAGCAGCGTCCCTCTCAGTCTCATAGCTGGCCCAAGCCTCGCTAATCCTCTGCTCGCTCGTCGGAGGGTCAATTGGCGGCTTTGGCGCTTCCCCTGCGGCCTCCATCCTAAGTTTTTCCTGGTATAGCTCCTCGAGGCGTACCTGCACCCTCACGCGCTTCTCTTCTCTCGTCTCCCCTGGTGGCTTCTCTATCATCGCCTCGTGACCCTCTCGCAGTAGATCTCCCTCACTTGTCCCCCCCTCTGCGGATGGCGGCTCTGGCGGAGGCTCCCCGGATGTCGGCACCTCCACATTCATACGTGCATCTGTAGACTCAGTTGGTTGCGGCGCCACAGTAGTAGGTGTCCTCGTCCTCTCGCCCCCCTCTGGCTCCGCCTGCGCCGGTGGTGGCATAGTAGCTTCCGATGGAGGCCCCAACATCTCCTCGCTATCCGGCTCAGGAATTCCTTCAGGCCAATACTGTCGCGCCTGCTCTGGAATCGGGGTAGGAGGAGGGGTATCATCCCCAACAGTGATAACCTCCTAAGTCTGCGGCTCCTCGGGTTCGCGAGACCCCGCCTCAGACCCCGACTCAGGTGGCTCTTCCTCTGGCTCATCCTCTACTGGCTAATACCGTGTCGGTCCGCTCTGGTCCGCTCCCAGTTGTGACGCCCCCCACTGGGATGCATCGAGATGAGCCTCCAACCTGTCGAGCGGCGTCCTGAACGGCMCCCCCCCCCCCCCTTTTGGTAACGTCGGCGACGGGCCCCGTAGATCACTGCCCGTGATTCGGCGGAACTCCATCTGCTCGAGTCCATAGGTAGGGAGTAGCTCCGCCGCCTGAGCTGGCCCCGCGGCCTGAACAAGCTCGACCGCCTGGGCGGCCTCTGCTAGCCCCTCTCGTTGTGCCAAGGCCTTTCGGCCACCTCTGGTCGTAGTGGCCCCTCTCGCCTCTGGGCCCCGTGAGCTCTTACTCCTTTGTCGTCTCTCCACCCTGGGCTCTGGTCTCTCGGGCTCCAGTCGTCGAAATGCCTGTCTCAACTGGGCCTGGCAGTCCTCCCAGTCGTGTGCCCTGTCCCGGATCTGCCTTGCCAGCGACCTCTCCGCCCTCCGTGTCCACAGGGGCAGCATCTGCATCCACTCCTCCTGCGCAGTCCTCTGGTCGCACATATACTGCTCATAGGCCGGGATGAACTCCTCCACATTGCCTTCCTCCAATCGAATAGGCAATCCATCCGGTTCCATCGGCGAAGCCCTCAGCATCTGCATCCTCGCCTCCATATCCTGCCAGGTCACGGCCTCCTCCCGGATGTGCGCAATAGGCTCCTCAAAGTGCCCAACTCCTCTCAAGTGTCGTATCCTCTCCAAGGTAGACCAGCCCTCTCGTGTCGCATGTACCTGGTAGGAGTCCAGAAAAAGCACTATGTTACCGTCGTCGAAGATAGGCGTAGACTCGCTCCCAACCGACATGCGCGAGTCATCCCCTCCTGATGCTCCCTGAGGCCCCTGTCGTGGCCGCGTGCCCTTCCCGCCCCTCTGCATGGCCGTCTTCGAAAAGTCAGACCTCCACAACAGGTGAGAGAAAGCAAGCAGGCACACAACAAGGTTAGCCCTCGGTTCATCAAGTTTTTATGACAACACACATGCCTCTCCCTACTCCCTCACCTGTCCTAACCATAACATGCAATACCTCAAGGATTTTTTTACTCTGAAGAAGGTAGAATTATTTACCTATTCCCTGGCCACGAATTTCTTCAGCCTCGTCCCTGATACCCAATCTTACCAGCCTGTCCCGTCCAGCTCCTCGATCTGATAGGCCCCAAATTCGCCACATCGCAAAATTCAATAGGGGCCCATCCATCTCTTGTTGAGCTTCCTCGACCATTGCTTATCTAGAGAGGAGTCGTATAGTAACACAACGTCCCCTACTGCCAACGGCTCCTTCCTTACTCGCGCCATCTGGTCCCACCTCATCTTGTCTTCCATGCGGCCCCTTTCTACCTGATCGGCGGCCTCTCGCAATCTTTCCTCGGCCGCCCCCACTTGCCGCGCCCGAATATCGAGCAGTTCTTCGAAGGAAAGGTTTACTTCCAAGTCTTGGCGCCTCCACGTCTTCATAAAGCTTTCTATGGGAAAGGTGGCGTGCCTCCCATACCATAGTGTGGCTGGCGCGTACTTGGTAGTCCTTTTTACAGTAACATTCTCTCGTAGGAACTTTGGCCATTGACCAGGTTTTCCCTCTGTCCACTTAGCCAGAAGATTCGTGATGGTACTGTGCCCCCTCTCCACAAGAGCGTTCGCTTGAGGGTGCACGGCCGTATTATAGTTGGCCACTACGCTATATCCTGCAAGCAACGTCCTCACCTCATTACAGGCAAACTCGGATCCTCGATCCATCACGAACTCCCTGACAAAAGGGTATCGCAAGTAATACTCCTCGATGTTGTTCGCCAAAACCGGGCCAGTCTTCGTCCGGATAGCTCATCCGTCCACAAACCCAGTAAGATTATCTCGTGCATCGAAGATGTAGTTACACCCATTCTCCCCTGCTGGCATGAATAACAGGTCCAGGTGTACGACCGCACCCACCTCCCTTTCTAACCTTGGGTGTAGGGGTTCTCCAGGCCTCTGCGCTGATCTTTCTTGACAAGGTATACAGGACTGGCAATATTTGATAACCATCGTCAGCATCCCATCCCAATGGTATAGCTCGCTTATCTTAGCGCATGTGGCACCTATCCCTTTGTGCCCTCTTGCTATACCATCGTGCAAGGCCGCTATGATATCAATCTGCCGGTTCCTCCCGGGGTCCTAGGGTCGATATGCTCTCCCCACTTATCGTATATATCCTCGTCCATACAAGAGGAAATTAGACCTGCCAACTCATCATCTCGCCACCGTTGGCAGGACCGTATAGTATGGCCCACCTCGCTACAATGCCAGCAGGTAGCGTTTCGCCAATCAAAGCGGGGCCTCCCATACCCTTGGCCTCCCTCTTCGCCACCTCGACCACCTTGGTTCTGACCCCCCTGACTATTCCAACCACCCCCGCGACCCCCACCATTTCCTCCTCGGCCTCGGCCGCCACCTCCTCGACCCCCCTGACCTCGGCCTCCATTGCCTTGTCCGCCTTGTCCTTGGTTTCCTCCACCGGCCAATTTAGCCTGCGTGGCCTGTTGGGAGGGAGGTGGTTGGGCCACAGACTGACCCTGAGCCGCAGGGTAGCTCGGGGGCCCCATACTTGCCGCTGGGCCCGCATAAGGGACCGTTTGCCCGAGCTGAGTCTGACTACCCCTCCACGAGGCGCAGTGATTACAACTGGGCCAGAACGTAGGCTGACAATGCGGCACGCAATGCCCACAAGCCGGCGGCGGCCCCATACATGACGGCCCGGCCGTTGCTGACGTTGTCGTGGCAGCAGGTGGTGGCGCAGCAATCGCTTGCGGGACCTGCCCTTTTCCGGATCCTTGACCCCCCACTTGTAAATTCCGCTGCTTCCTCTAGGCCTTGGTTAGGATCTGGGAGCCCGTCTCTTCTCCGCCATAGTCCTCGCGCCTAGCCTCCTCTTCCACTGCCCCCGACGCCCGGCCTTGGGCCACGGTCACTCCCCTCTTTTGCACTACCGCCTCATTATCATACCCCAGCGCTGCCAATACGTCCGTGACGATCCTCTTCACCCCTGGGGTCCCGGACGCGGTGGCGTCCCTTTCCTTCCTCTTGCGCCTTTGCAGCCACACCTGGTGCTGCTCCACCTGGTTCAGGCTCCCCTCTTCCACCCCTTTGTCAATAGTGGCCCAGGTGAGTTTCTCATTTCCCCCTCCGTGACCCGTCAGCTCCGAGACCTCAGAGCCAGTAAGCAGACCCAAAAATATGGCACACTGCGTTTCTTCGGAGATCCCGTGCACCTTCCGCGCCTTCCTTTTAAACTCGTGCACAAACGCCCTAATAGTGGAGAAGTCATCCTTGTTCATGGCCTCCAAATCCGCCATGGTTAGCAAGCCATCTCCCAGCCTGTACTTTCTCTGCATCATGTCCCTGAACCTCGCCCAACTACCATTGGCGGCATCCACGACCTTGCCCACTTCATGATGGTGGTTATGAAGGACATATCTTAGGACTCGCTGGAGCTTAACCTCGTCCGACAACCCCACCAGTGCTTACTCCGTCAAGTCCAGTCGGTGAGACACCCGCTCTCCCTTGAAGTGGAAAGTATTGACCTTCGGGACATTGCTCGGCGCCCTCTCGCGCTTATCCAGGGCATCGATGAGGTCGTCGAGCGTTACAAGTTTTCTCCCACCGTCCGCCATCTCCTCAGGTATTTTGATTAACTGCCTTCGACTTCAATCCCCCTGTTATAAGAAGCGATAGGACGAAAGGTTCCACTTAGCAGTCCATTCCTTCATGATCCTACCGGACCGACCACCTAAGTACTCGACGCTCTGGACCTGGCAGACATTTCTCTCTCTACTTCCTACCTCCCTTGGGTTCACCTAAGTAAGACCCATTCTCATCACAGAATTCACTCACATACTCGCCTCGTTCATGCCATCAACCAAACCACCAATCAGATCAACATTCATACCCACACATCCATATAGACTACTATACGACCCATCTCATAGTTCTTCTCCTATTTGCTCTCGTGCCTAGTTCTCTCTCATTCTCATATGACCCGGATGTCGTTCCACCAGGGACAACGGTAGGCTTCCGTTATCCCCGGCGACGGCGCCACCTGTCGGGCGCATCGGTCCGGTACCGCACGTGGCAGCGCGGGACCCTCTCGGCCGCGTCACGCAGGAGTTGGACCAACCTCGTCGCGAATACACAAATGGAGCTTTCTTAGGTCGCCTCCCTTCGGTGGGCGTATCCTCACCGAGCTACTAGTCCACAGTACGAAGGCTACTCGGTTGCAATCGCAGAGGTGGACCAGCCGAGGGCGTTTCTCGTTCGTTGTAGCATAGGGGGTACGAGCGGTAATACGCCTATCGGACCCGCACGCGGGTCGACATCTTGGGGGGCTGAAGTCCCAAGCGTGGCCCGACGTCGGTCGACTAGGACGCATCCCACGCACCACGCGCACACCACCCTAC